CAGGATAACCCAAGTGGTAGAGCAGAGAGGTATTGAATTAGCATTGTTGTCAATAGGCAAAAAGACGAGGTTGTCTCAGACTTTGAATGTTTCTTGTTGTTTGCTCAAAAGCAGTCAAAAGTTGTTCATTGAGTTTTGCAAAGTGACTGCACGGGATCAGCTGGACACTTGTCCTGATTTATGCACCACCATCACCAGACTGAGCAAGCTTCAGCACATGTTCTCGAAGTGAAGGCTTTCCTTTGCTGAGGTCTATCAGATGATTTAGTAGAAGCTGCATTTCTATAATGAAAACAAATAGACTTTAAACAGATCAGTTGGTATTTATGGATAAGAAGGGCCCCCCAACTGTGAGGCAAGGTAAATGTATATGTCTAACATGTGAAAGTATATGTCTAGTAGCTCCACAAATATTTAGAAGTAAAAGAATGGATTGTGATAAAGTGTTTTAGAAGAAGAAAATATGGACCAGGAGGTTGGCCTTTATTAGAAATTAAGTTGACCTTGTCTGTCCCACAGGCTTTACAAAAACATTAATATGCATACTATCACCATATCCTGTTGTCTATGTACTCTCCCCTGTTAGAAACGGCTACTTTTCCTTACAGTGATTCTTGTTATGAACGAATGATGATTTTTCAGCAGTTTCAGCTTGTCGTCTAGGGCTGGCAGTTTAATCGGAAATGTGATGCTTCTCCAGAGCCAACGGGCCGTGTTGGGACACATGGCAGGATTTCTTAGGCTGTTTGAAGCCCAGCTCTTTCTCAAAAGCTTAGTAGCAGAGATATGCATAAAGGTGTGTTAATGCTGGATCAAAAGGAGGGAAAAGTCTTACGGAATCTTTGTAGAAATCAAAGGAATTGATCATTTAGAGAGAGAAATCCTGCTTTGTCAGGAGAGATAAGGAAGAAGCAAGCCCAGCAAACACAGCTCATCCTAAGGAAAGACTCACAGGACTAGCTGTCTAGTGGAAAGTCAGATTCAGAATGAATTACAGGCCGTACAGAAAACTGAAGAAAGGTAAGCACGAATGTCACATACAGGCAACACGCAGGTTGTTCCCTGCTGCCCCCTACTGGAGCTGGATACAGCCCATGAGCCAAACCACGGGAGAAACCCACAAATACTCCAGAAATAATGAGGGTAGCAGTCCGATTGCACTGGCAAGGGATGGACAGCCAGCAGCAAGTGAGATCTGTGTAATCTTGGACCCCACTGAACTTGAGAAGGTTTTGCCATCAGCTTCATTAGTGGCGGGATTATTCCCAAGAACTTTCTACTTCTATATCCTTAATACCTTAGTCAGCACTCTGCTCAAAGCCACGCAGGACTGTTATGAGACAAGTGCTGTGAGTGATGAAATGGTGAAATAAGTATAAGTCTTCTTGGCTCTCCTTCATAATACACATTCAACTTCAACTTAAAAAAATTCTATTGAGCCTCTCGGCATGGCTGTTGAAGCACCTTGCCCAGCCATCCATCTCCCAGCTGTGCCGTCTGCCACTTGGACCTGGCTGCCAAATGTAAGCACTTGGGTGATTCAAGCCAGGTGATCAGCATAAAGACTCTGTTAATTGGTATTATGGGATCAGCACTTTCTTGGTGCATATGAGCCTTATTTGATTCGTATCAGGGCTGCATATTTGCAAATTCTTGGTCATTATTTAATAGGTAAGTTGTATATTTGTTACTACATAAATAGCTTGGAAGTTAAGAGACTAACAAAAGAGTGACAGAGCCAGGAATAAAATTTAAAGGTGCTTGCTTACAACTATGAATTTATCCTCCAGCACACATTGCTTTTATTGTGTTACAGCGCTCATCATTTCTGCTTCTAATGTGGTACACTTACCCCCTTATTTGCAGTGTTCTTAATCCCCTAGGATCCTTTCTTATTTTCAGATTATTCGATGTCTGAAAAGTTTTAGCCTGTATTTTGTCAGTGGTTGTGCGTTAGTGCTTATTGCAAAGCTAAAATCATAAGCGAAAGGCAAACTGCCTCTAATACATGAATTCCTTCAGATGATTTTTGGTAAGCGTTTTGCTTGGTTGGGGGTCTGAAGAGAACAAAGAATTCTATTGAAACCAACAAAACCAGTATGATCTTGTTCTGCTCTACAATGTGAAATTTTTCTCTGCGTGTTTTGCAGTGCTTGCTTAAAAATCTTTGTCCTCTTTAAAAAAGTAAAATAATGAACAGATTATATTGCTCCATTTCAAAGAAGAAAACAACAAAGAAAAGCCAACTGGATAATCAGAAAATATAAATAAAGACAATTTCTACTGACAGTGTTCTGACCAAATATTTATTTCCTAACTCATACAAAATTGATGCTTGTGGATGTACCGGGCTGGAAAACAAATGACTCTAGTTATCCACAGAAAACATACAGTGCCAGTGGAGCAATGAAGCCTGCTTTGACATGAATGAGAAATATTACAGGTAATTTACAAAATGAGATCCATTGTCATATAGAAAATGACGTTTTGGAGAAACAGTGTCATGAAGGAGGCTGATATTTGTCTGCTGAGGCAGCAAGGAATTCCCATTCACCCAGTCAGGCAGTGGATGGAGAGGCTTCCCTCTACCTCGGCAGGAACTGCACCTGTGTGCTTGCAGGACAGTCAGCTCTCCCCACAGGGCTCCTACACCTTCCAGTCTTCACAAGTTCGTAGCACATTTGCTGTGCTGTGGAGTTTGGCTGGATACGGACCAGAGAACTACATGTAAAAAACTGAAAACAGAAAGACGCTCTGTTCTACTAGAAATTTATTCAGTGATCAGATGGAAAATGTGGCTGCAGTGGAAAAAAGAGTCAGATACCAGAAAGATGAGAAAGTCAGTCCTGGATAAAAGTAGTTCTAATACTTAACATAAAGTAAAACACTGTTAAAGGTTTGTATACGAGTCATGCCAACTTCCATGTAGATGAGAACTGTAATGAAACGGTGTCTAAGCCATTATAAATTTTGCTATTTACACAAAAGGAAAAAGAAATTTTCCTATTTCATTTTTCATGTTACCCTCCATACCTTGCGTACTTATTAAAATGTAGGGTTTCAACTACCCATAGAAAAAATACAAACGTGCAGAGAAATGACTACTAGAAAGAAAAGAGCAACCAAGACCTATAATTAGATTTGCAATAATTGAGTCCTGTCCTAAGGAGTTAGATCATGTTCTTTTTCTTTCCTACATAAAAGTTGCACTCATAACAACAGAACAAGAAGAACACAGTTGCTTCAAAACACTGGGCACAGAGTTCCAGAAACAAGATAGCAACTACTCAGAAATGCTGTGGAAAACATTACTCACGTAACAACTTGCTATTTACATTGAAGAGCGTAGCTTTTAAGATTAATTAAAAACTAAAGGGAAAAAATAATAAAAATTTTAAAAAAAATTTAGTCAAAAGACAATTTGGCCTATAAGGAGGAATCTCTGTTCTTTGCTTTTTGTCTAGCAGATCTTTTGAGATATATACCCATGTATACACAGATGTAAGTCTGGGGCAGATTTATCAAAAGCTAAAACGTGTCTGGGTGATGAGCTAGCAAATCTCATCTCAGAGATTACTTTTGCAGCAGACAGCCCCCCCGCAGCAGAAATGCTGGACCGATACATGTGAATGAAATGACTCTCTCTGCCCACGACGTACACAGGATCCACACACACACATCAGTCTGTCCAAGCAGACAGCACAGTGCTGGGCACAGAGCAGGGCTGCGGGATGCCACCACCCATTGTGTGGACGATGGGCAGGCTCCATCTCCCTTTGCAGGTGGTGGATGCTCTCTGCTGGAGCTGAGATAAGCAGCAGCTCCAGGGACGCTCCGCAGGATGAGGAACCATCGGCTCGTTGGGACCCAGTTTGTGAGCAGCCCTACGCACCCAGTAGCAGCAGTCATGCTCCTTCAGCAGGACAACTGGGCCGGGCCACCACAGCACTCCTTCTTATAGCAAGATGCTGTTCGGCAGCAGGCCCTGATTCTGATTTTGAAGCAGGAAAATCCAGGCAGAGGATGTGGACCTCACCAGAGGAAGGACGGTCTGTTCTCCAGCTGTCCAGGCTTCATCCTAACTTGCCAAAAAACAGTGCAAATTTCTAACAGTTCACAGGAAAAAGAATGTCCATATTGACAGGGTATAAATCCTTCCTTACGTACGAGAATGGTACATATCCGGCATCTCTATCAAATATCGTAGAAAAGGTTACACAAAAATAGTTAAATATATGGATACAGATACATAGATATTACACTTGCATAAAATATGTAGATTCAAAACCCTTTGGGCAGTTTCACAGTTAGCTGAAAATGTATGCTTTAGAAATATGAACAATTTCCTACACTTTTCTAGTTTAAGTAGGAGGGGAAAGGGAAGAAGCATCAGCCTTATTAATACTGAATGCTAAGTGCAGGAATTTAGCTGTAGCTGTAGGGCTTTGAAGCAATTGATTTGACAGAACCTCCAAGCATAAACTCTGTTTTAAAAATCCACATTTATTCCCTAGATCGCTTATTGTTTCATGAAAATGAAAACCTACGTGCCCTGCTTGTATCAACTAGATCTCCTGAGACCGCTCAATGAAACCATGTAAGCTCACAATACTTCAAGGTAGGGTCATGCACTGGGAGTACACATGAGCCTTATTGCAGCATTTCTGTGTGATAACAGGAATTCATAACTTCTCACATCCTGTAGAATTTAACTTTAGAAATGCAAAACCTTGAATGACACCACAAGAAGCTCACAGTTCTGAAAAAATTAAAGTCAGTATGAAATTTTACTTATAGACCACATAATTTACACAGATTTACATAAATACAGAGATATTAAAATATTAAATCAAACCTAATTAACAGAGGATAGAGGTTTACATGATAACATTTTAATTCAATACATTTCTGCCACTATTCTTAGTGTCATGAGATTATATAAATAATATATATATCTATATATCCATAATATGTATAAAGATATATATATTTCCATCCTTTTTTTTTTCCTCAAAAATAGGGCAATTTTATAACTGCAATGAGATGTGACAAGCAGTACACTTCTGGGGAATTATTGCATGCCTTGAGTGCATAAGGCAGAAGGAAAAGTGTCTGACTAGAGACGCTAAAGAAGTGAAACCATCAACCAGAAATGCACTGGAGTGATTTGGAACATCTTATTGCTTTTATAAAACTCAAAATTATATACTGATTTTTAAGAAAAGGCACAAAATAAAGGGGAAAATAATATCTCTATTTAGTGGAGATCACGATCAAGAAGCTCCGTTACTGTTCACTGAACACTTCTCACTGTCCTAAATCTATTCCCTACGGTGCAATACTGTGTTGCGGTTGCATAAGGAGGTTAAACACAAAAGTTCATGCATCCTTTATTAGGGGAAACAAAACAAAGCCCATTTCCTTGCCCAACAACACAGCAGTAGCCGTTAGCATCTGGTCACACCAGGAAGCATCGGCCATCACTCCCACCTCACCACACCACACTACCAACACCATGTTCATTTCTGCACCAACCTCAGCTGGTAGAACAGCTCCTGGAGCTGGATGCTGGAGGCACGCATTGAAACCCAACAGGAATTTCCCACCAGGCAAGATCACAAAGGGGTAAGACAGGGTTAAGAGAAGCACTGCCTTGAAACCCCTGCATATTGGTGCTGTCCATGGACTAGAGTGCTGTGGCACCCTTTCCTCTTTTCACCTTTGTGCTGTCAGCACAAGGGCTCTCCAACCCAGCAGCCACACCAGGGGGCAGAGAACAGCAGAATGTTACAACCTGTGGGCTACAGCTACCTCATCACATCACTCATCACTCTGAATGCCAGGATACGGGGGGAAAAAAAAAATTAGAAAATCCCTCGGGATTACTTTTCCTTTGCTGTATTCTTTAGATGTTAACATGCACAGCAGAGATCTGCCTCTGCTATGATACCACACAAGATGTTTCAAAGTTCGGATACGGCACTCTGTTAAGGCACCTTCAAGGAATGGGCTTTGATTTAATCGCTAAGCAAAGCTGCACCGGACGCTGCCCCACGCTCCTCCAGCACACACAGCACTAGCAGCACCGCACCTGCCCACCACTGACAAAAGCCACTGCTGTTTGCTAGGGAGAAACCATACTTCCAAAATAAATACCTGCTGGGCATTAAGAGCTGATATTTTGCACAACTGTCTGGTTAGTTCCTCAAAAGAGGAGAGGCAAGAAATTTGAAGTGTTGTCTGTCCTTAACTGCTTGCTAGATTATAAGGGGTAAAAATATGTATCAGCCTAAAAAAGTAGAAGCTAGCCCCGTTCTGCTGCAGGATTCCTTGCTGGGAGGTGAAGCTTTAACTGCAGCGGGGTTGGAGCAGGATGCCTGGTGCAGAACAGGGTTTGTTTTGGGACCCCCAGGAGGAACAAGGCCATCTTCCCCCTGAGGTGTATCACCTCATGCCACCACGCAGAATGGCAGTGGTTTTGGGGGTTGTGTCATGGGGAGGGCATTTAGAGATGATGGATGCTGGGGGGGGAGAGGAAAGTTGCAGCTGGAGTATGGGGCCGCAGGGCACTGCAGTTCACCTAAACCCAGTTGGGGGTGGGTGTTACACAAAACAAGATCCAGTCCTGGAGAGAAACAAGAAGGGTGGGCCAGGGGCACAGATCCAAGCACAACAGAGAGCTGCCCCAAGAAGACAGGCGGGGTCCCAAGGCACCCACCAGACCTGCCACTCCCCCCATTCCACACCCCAGCCACGCCATGCAGTGTGACAACGGGGGCAGGGGGGGATCCAGTAGTGGGATCACCCCAGCCCTGGAGGTAACAATGTGTAGGGAAAAGGGATCCCTGCCCCTGACTCTCTCCTCCAGGCTAGGTATATGGTCGCTGCGTGCAGGTCCTTCTCCAGCACAAAGACGCATCCTTTCCTTGCACAGTCAATGAGAAACGCGATGTGATCTGTCATGCGCTTGGATCATGGGCTTGTTCGTTCATTAGAATTAGCAATGTTTTCTTCTTCTTTGAGGACTAGAATAATCACTCCGGTATTTACAAAGGTGCCTTCTCCCGGGTTCCCCTAAACCATCATGACAAAATCACCGTCTGCAAGAGCCCCACGCCAGCTGTGTCCAAAGCTGCCTGTGCCGGCTGGGAGCTGGGGGCTGCCATGGGGGGGGCCCGCTGGATCTCCGAGTCCCGGGGGGGTCTTCCCAGGCGGCTGTCTCTCTCCGGGGGGGTCTCTCCCGGTGCGGGGTGCCGGCTGCCACTGCTGCTGCGGGCGCAGTGGTCCCGCTCATACTCCTCCTGTGCCTTCTGCATCTTCCGCTTCTTCATCTTCCTCTTGTGGATGTGGAAGGTGGTGAGGGAGAGGAGGATGAGGCAGAAGATGAGGGTGACGAGGACGATGAGAACGAGGGTGGAGGAGAAGGACTGAAAGAGCTGACCCACTTGCGTGATGCAGGTGCTGCTGGCGTTCGAGGTGGCAGACGTCCTGTTCAGGAGACAAGGCGGCAGCGACAGCCTCAACTCCTTGGAGAGCTTGGCACTCATTGAGGAGGCTTCGGAAGACGAGGATCTTCCTCCCCTCTCTCAAGACGCCGGAATTTCAGTGGGGGCCGGGCTCGCTCCCGGCAATGCCCGCGGTGCCGCCGGCACAGCCTCTCGCTGGCTCTAAACGCGACCGAGCAGCCTGCAAAGGGAGTGGGACCGTCAGCGCTGCCCACCCTGCCCGCCGCCCCGCCCCGGGCACCGCTGCGGCAGCCCCCGGCCCGCGCCCCGCCACGGGGCCAACGCCGGCGGCCGGAGCCGAGCCGCGGGACGGGGCGGGGGCGGCAGAGGCGGACACCCCGCGCACCGCTCGCCCCAACTAGTTGCCGTGGCGGCGGCGAGGGAGGGAACCCGCCGCTGACCGGAGCCCGCAGGCCGAGCCGACCGCCCCCGGGAGCCCATTACCTGCGGCGGCAGAGGCGGCGAAGGAGCGCCCGGGCGCCGCGGGCGCTGGGGGGCTGCGGCAGCGCGGAGTGAGGGCGCGGAGCGGAGCCGCTTCGGGAGCGCCGCCCGCAGCCTGGCACCGCCCCGCCCCTGACGTCACGCCGGGCCGCCGCCTCCCCTCGCACGGCCGCGGGCACGGGGCCTCGGGTGCCGATCGGGTGCCGGCCCGCGCTGCGGGGACGCGTTCTTTCCTGGCGGCGGGCGGCTGTCCCGTACCTCCCCCTTCGGGCTGCGCCCGCCCCGGCGCGCCGCCTCCCACAGGTTGCCTCCGGGCGCCCGGCCCTCCCGCCGTGCCGCCCCCGGGGCCGGCGTGTGCTGGCTAGCCGGGACCGCGGTGTCTGCAGAACTGGCCGGGGCTCCGTGCGCGGCGGGGTGTTCGTGTGCAGCGGGGTTGTGGGCTGCCCGTGAGCGTGCTTCAGCTAAAAATTGAGTGGTTCCCAAATAGAAGAGACCTTGGGATTTGAAGAATGCTTTCACTTGACATACGGGGCCAAAAAGATATTTACCTTCAGGATGAAGCTCCTCAGTTTTCCAGAAGGAACAGTGGTGGGGTTGTGGATGACTGCTCGGGGCCCAGTGGATGCCTTCAGTCCCATGCTTGTGCTCTGACAGGGAGCCAGGAGCAGGGTCACTATGGCACCAGTGGCAGAAACAGAACTTCAAGGAAAAATAGAGGCTGTCTTCTGCTGGCCTGGAGCCGCGTGAGAAGCCTGGGGGAAAGCCTGTACCAGGAGGAAAAGGATCTGGAGTGTTAGCTGATAGCAGGATGAATGTGAGCCAGCGCTATGCCCACGTGGCCAAGGAGGCCAATGTCAGGTGTGGTAGAATGGTTTGGGTTGGAATGGACCTCAAAATAATCTTCATCTAGTTGCAGCCTTCTGCTGTGGGCTTATGTCAGCAATAGTGCAGCCAGCCGGAGCAGGGAGGGGCTCGTCCCTTTGTACAGGGTGCTGGTGAGGCCACACCTCGAGTACTGTGTTCAGTTTTGGGCTCTCGCAAGAAAGACATTGAGGCCCTGGAGTGTGTCCAGAGAAAAGCAATAAAGCTGTGAGGGATCTGGAGCATAAGTCTGGTGGGGAGTGGTTGAGGGAACTGGGATTGTTTGGTCTGAAGAGGAGGCTCAGGGGAGACCTTATTGTGTTCTGCAACTGCCTGAAAGGAGGTTGTGGTGAAGCTGCAGTCAGCCTCTTCTCCCCCATAACAGCAAGAAGATGAGAGGGAATGACCTCACATTGCACCAGAGGAGGTTCAGGTTGACCATTAGAATCATAGAATCATAGAATCATAGAATCATAGAATGGCCTGGTTGAAAAGGACCTCAATGATCATCTAGTTTCAACCTCTCTGCTATGTGCAGGGTTGCTAGCCACTAGACCAGGCTGCCCAGAGCCACATCCGGCCTGGCCTTGAATGCCTCCAGGGATGGGGCATCCACAATCTCCTTGGGCAACCTGTTCCAGTGTGTCACTACCTTCAAGGTGAAAAGCTTCCTCCTAATATCTGACCTAAATCTCTCCTGTCTTAGTTTAAAACCATTCCCCCTTTTCCTATCACTATCCACCCTTGTAAACAGTTGTTCTCTCTCCTGTATTCTTCTCTTCAAGTACTGGAAGGCCACAATGAGGTCTCCCCAGAGCCTTCTCTTTTCCAAGCTAAACAAGCCAAGTTCCCTCAGCCTTTCCTCATAGCAGAGGTGCTCCAGCCCTCTGATCATCTTAGTGGCCCTCCTCTGGACCCGTTCCAGAGCTCTGCATCTTTCTTGTACTGGGGTTCCCAGACCGGAATGCAGTCCTCAGATGGGACTTCACTAGAGCTGAGTAGAGGGGCACAATCACCTCCCTTTCCCTGCTGGCCACAGGAAAACATTAGGAAGAACTTCTCAGAGTACTGAGACATTGAAACAGGCTGCCCAGGGAGGTGGTGGAGTCACTGACCCTGTAGGGGTTCAGGAACATGGAGAAGTGGAATTAGGGGACATGTTTAGTGGGCAATCTGGGGATGGGTTTACAACTGGACAGGTGATCTTAGTGGTCTTTCCAACCTTAATTATTCCCTTTGCAAAGGAGCTACAACTCAGGGTTTCCTCTAAACCAACCCAAATACCTGTTCCCATTGCTCCGTCCCTCTCCAGGTAATACCTAATACCTAATGCTGCAGGAGCTGCAGAGAGGAGTCTCACCAGAGAGCTGTAAGACAGCTGCTGCCCAGTGCTTGCCCACCCTCCTTCCATGCAGCCCCCCAGTGCCGCTCAGTGCCTCCCTGCAGTGCCCATATCACACCTCCCTGCGTGTTTTCAGCAAGGCATCTCTTGCACACATGCACATCCCCTCTTGCATACCCATGTCCTCACTGATGTTACGGCCTCCATAACCCTTTCTTCCTCCATGCCTTTCTTTAATGTGCACATCTGCATTAATGCATACTCTGCTCACTGCCTTAGAAGAGATAACCTCCAAGGTTACTTGCAGCTAAGGCTGCGAAACAGCACTCTGGACATTCCCTCTTTCCTCTGACTATTCCCAGAGCAGTGTTTGGGTGAGAGGCTACAAACAGGATGGGGGGCATGGAAGGTGCCCACCATGCCCTGTGGTCCTGCAGAAATCCTCAGATCTCCCTCATGAGCAGTGAAGTGTGACAGACACCAACAGCTCTGTGCTCAGGCAGAATTGGAGAGGTTGTAGAAGCAGATCTGAGATGTTAGCTCATTGATTAGAAAACCTTTTTTTTTTTTTTCAAGGGGAAAAAAGAAAAAAAAAAACACCACCACAAAACCCATAAGATTGGCCATTTGTACAGAAAACAGCATTGGCAGCTTTAGTATATTTAAAAAGATATCCTACGATGTTAGTTCTGTGCATGGCAGTAATAGCAAAAAATGTGGATTGAGTAAACTTTACAGGCAAAGAATTTTCTAATTCAGATACAGTTGTTATAAATTAACAGATAGGACTAGGTTCACGTAGCACTAACACATTTTCTCTTATCTTCAGATCTTAACTGTTTGAAAAGGTAACACAGGAGTATTGAAAATTTAGTTGCTTTAAACACATTTAAAATCCTTTGTGCATTCCTTTCACCTGATCTGTCCCCACCTGACTGTTTGCCCCCCGTGTCACACAGTGTCTCCTCCTTTCTCACCCTTCCCAGTCCTTGCTAATCTCCTTCCACCCAGACTGCTTGGGCTGGAATCCCTGGGATGAGTCAAAGATATTTTATTTACTTTCAGAGTGGTGTTCTCATTATTCCCGGCTATCAGGATTAGCAAACAGTGAAAACATGAGTGTCTTGTGTATTTGTGTGATAATTATTCTAACTAGTAGGATTTTGCTAAGCTGCAAGGAGTGAAAAATGGGCTTGGGGACTGGAGAAGGTCAGAAAGCATCAGTATCTCCACAAATTTTTAACTCTCTCCCTGCTGTCTCAGCCTCTCTGCTGTCTGTGTTCATTTACAGCTTTGAAATATCTCTGCTTCACCTAAAAGAATCAAAGAGCAGAGGTAGTTCTTGCCCTAGCAAGAATTTTTAATGAGAGAGACAGTCAGAAGAGGAGCACTGTAGAGAAGAAGGGAAATCACAGTACTGTAGTTGGCATTCTGGCTCATGCTAGCTGCCAGCCAGCAAAGTTTATGGATTCAAATATCCACAATCAGAATACAGTGAGCCTCAGAAGTCAGGAGAAAAATCTGTCTTCTTGTGGACCAGTAGCTGTGTTATTATTCCATTGTTCTGATTCACTGACATGATTGGATTTGAACATAAACATGCAAGAAAAGAATGCATCTCCAGTACATACTGCAGTAATGAAAAACCTTTTATTTAGCACAAAAATAAGGGATGTGAGTGCCCTCTTTCAAAAATATATTCCTCATTGCCTGTAGAGAATTTCCCCGTAGTATACATACAGTATGACATTCGGAGAGGTTGGGTTTCTTGCTTTAGTAGCGTTGGTCACCGTGTGATAGATGGCATTATATGTAGGGGAGTTTTTATATTTCACAATGATGTTTGGATTCATTACAACCTTGGTAGCTCCCAGTTCTCTCTGGTTTCACGTTGGTAAGAAGCAGGCAGCGTATGTATTTGCAAATCTCCCAAACAGACTTTTTTATGTGGGTATGTTTTAATCTGTTAATTAGGGAAGTTGTTCCTTCAGATGCTAATTCCTCATGCCCTGTCTTACACGGTCCTTTTTTTTTTGCCAAGGCAGCAGCCTAATGAGATAGCCTGTAAGAGCAAAGGCTGCTCATGTAAGTAAAGGTTTGATGGTTCAGGCCCTTGGCTATTAATGACCCTTCTTGAAACAAATTTATTGCCCTTACTGTTTAAATTTAGCAGTTGATTACGTATAGAATAATGCATGATCCCTTTTGCACCGAGATTGATGTCATCATTTGCCAGACAGACACGGCACCTGATGAATGCCAATGACCCGCATACTAATTTGCAGTCTCCCCTTGGGATAAAGGCCATCTGTGCACAAGTCCTTCGGTCCCTCCGTACTCTCACTGCTATAGGTGGAGCCCAGTGATTTAAATGTGGTCTGAAAGCCTCGTGCTGTGAATAGGATTTTAAAAAGCAAAAGAGACCAGATTTGTATTTCATATGCACTGGTAGGTCAACTAATATCCTGCACATTGTAAGTGTTTATCTTGCAAAAATAATATAAGTGTCT